AAAAAAAAGTACACACAAAAAATATGCTCAAGTCAAGAGAGAGACGATAAGCCAAGTAAAAATTAGTTGTTGCCAAATAAAAAATAACTTCTGATCATTTTCAACCACAAAATGCATTCGGTATTGGCTTACTTAAACATAAGCTATATTCGCACCTGGTCTTCCAGGAACCGCAGGCCTCGGCCACATGAGAGCAGACAGTGCAAGGCAGCCATCTTCTCACTGTCTAGGTGGGTGTTCCATAGGAACTGTAATAAGTAGGACTGGTTGAGGAGTGCTCTATAGAGCGTTCCAGAACTGCAATCCAGTACCAGGGACCCTGACAGTGACTGCAAAGGACTATGAGGTAGCATATCAGTCATTTCATTATTTCCTGGGGGAGAGAAAAGTAGATCAGCAAATAAAAGAACCTCTTTCACTCAAATACAGATATGAAAGTCAAAACAAACCCTGATGGGTTGTATCCCTGAGAGAAAAACCCGCAGCCATACCTGTCAGAAACAGACTGTGGCAGATCAAGTCTGGATGTTGAATGTTAAGTAGATGAAAGAAATGGCCAGGTAAGTAAACAGCCACGTAATAGTCTATAAAAGAGAAAGATTTAAGTCATTGACATGTGGTAAGAGCTATACAGGTAAAGCCCAGGACTTCACATTATCCCTGTTTTCCTTTGAACCTCTCAAAACACAAAAGCTTTTACCAATGTAATAACAAGCTGTCTGGTACCATGGTATCAACACATTTCATCTTACCAGTCAGACCTCATTTATTTCTATCTGTGGCTAATTTTCTTCAGACATTTAGCCATGGTTATCTTAATTCATACCTGTGGCTTTGTTTCTAAGGGAACTGTGGCTTTATGTGAATCTAAATGAGCTCTGAGAGCAATTAGAATAAAAATGTAAAGCAACATGAATTATTTCTTAATCTCATAGGCTGGGAATAACATATAATGGGAATTTTCTTCATAATCTCTGCCCATTGGGGGAAGTTCTAAAATTTAGCTCCCCATGTTTGTCCACTCCTCAGCAGCAGTAGCAGCAGCATTTTTAGAACCTTTAAACTGATATTCATTAAAACAATCTCCGCAGATGCATCATGAAGAATGAATTCATCTCCTTGAATAGCTAGCTGCCTAGAATTCTCACCTTCAGTCCCTGCACTAGATATTTTTGTACCAAGAACATTTATACCCAGATTGAGACAATGTATATAAA